GATAGCTAATAATAAAAAATGTACTATATGCAGTTAATTTTTATGCTAAAGATTGTAAATTACTCAATATTGTGTCAATTGTTATCAAAAAGAATTGAATTCACTGCCATCCATGTGTAATAACTTAATACAACTATGTGTAATAACTTAATACAACCATGTGTAATAACTTAATACAACCATGTGTAAACATTTAACACAAAGTTTCTAACATCAGACTATATTATAGCTAATCCGTCGTCAGAGCGAGTATTGCGACCTATGTGTTTCGTCAAACAGCTGGAACTACAAGAATACAAATTTCCGGGATACGTGAGCACGCCTACCCCTCGAACGAATTTAGCGAAGGAATTGGAGAAGTACAGCAAACCCCCACCTGATTTCACATTCGACGTGTACAGACCGATAGCGCCTAAGCCTAAAGCACCAGCCCCTCCACTCACGACGTCAGAGCCGGAAGCTGATGTTGCTCCTCCTCCATCTCTTCCTCATCCCCAGAGGCCCACGCCCATCGTTGTAAAACCCAAGCCCCAGCAGAGAACTACTTTCAAGTGAGTTTTTTATGTCTTAAGAATGGGGATGGTATATGTTTTCAGGAAAACTATCAATGTGTATTTTCAGTTCAAGAATAAGCAACGTAATCATCTTGATGTCACTCTAAACTTCTTTTCTACTTTTTACTAATTTAACGCTTTGTTTGGATGCATTTTGCAGTCTTTTTTCGTATATAATTTTTCATTCCATTGTATTCTTGGTGACTGGGATAGATTTTGCACATCGTAAAATTGTTATACAAAGCAAGTAACAATGTTCATTATAATTTGTATTTTGAAGCTAGAACAAACAATGACAGTTGTGAAGAGTCTATAGAATTCTCTTTTTTACTTATTTTCTTTTTTCTTCGCTTTCGCTGATCATTTGATTGCAAGGTAGTTTGAGATTTGCTTTAAAGGTTAGTATTGCTTACTGCTACTAACATTTACTACAGAAGCAGTTATAAGTTCCACTAAAACATGATAGAATAAATTAGAAATTAAGAAATCCAAAACTCTGTACAGTCAGAATAAAAGTTCAGCTTTGGACGTTGACTTTGGAGGAAGAGAAAAGAGCTCTATATGTTTCAAAAGGTGACCTATGCGAGTCACTCAAGAGAAATATTCTGACGTTATTCTAACTATAACAATTTAAATGCAAAATAAAGGACATAAAGTGCAATCTGTTCAGAAAACTGGGATTGATTAAATCATGGAATAAAGTTTATATATTTTAATGAACGCTAGAGTCTTCGAAAATTTTTGATTCGTCAGTGGAATAAGTTTCAGATAATTTTAAAAAAATTGGAAAACTATGGGAAAGAAGACCAACAATGATTAAACGTAGAAGTTTTTTTTATTATTATTATATTTTTTCCCTTCGGACTTCTTTGAAACGCGTGGAGCATTATTGAAGTTTTCAAAAGCTTAAAATAGGTATATATCCCTAATTAAGTGATGGACTTCTCTTCGACATGAAATGTAATTCACTCCTTGCGAGACAATGGATTCCCGCCTTTTTTTTCCTCCCGATATCATTCTTCCACGAGGGTTTCAGAAAGTTCTCTTCTCTCGATATGTTCATCTGATTTGGCTTCTGCAGCATTACTTGAGGGAGACGTATACATCATGTTTTGCGCGACATTCACAACTATATCTGTATCTCTGTATTCTTTGAGCTTACTTCTTAAATGTTTTAAATCCGTAAGCACTTTAATTGAGTTTGTTACTATTTACTCATATCAGAAGCCAGCTACTGTTAGAAAACAGCAGCAATAATAATGTTCAGCTAATGTTTGAATATTTTCTATAAATTATTTTTTTATTTCTTATCTTATTATTCTATATATTAGAAGCTAAAACAATAAATTAAAATTGTTAACTATTGATATAAATAAAAATAAATACCAATTTTGAATCTTATTGATTCATTGTTCAAACTCACGTTACATTATTACTCATATTACATTTGAATAAAATTTGTTTGAATTTTTTTATATTATAATGCTTTATAAATGTGTTTCTGTAAATAGGCAGTTTTCCCTGGAGCCTACATCAGCTATCAACCTTTCTACTAAAAGCAATGCTGATAATGTTATGGACCTGTCCTCATCCAGTTCTCGTACCATCCATACTCTTGACCTGAGCGCAAACACACGTTGTCCAACAGGAATATGTACCAGGTGAAGAATGTAACTTTATGCTATATATTAATATTTTAAGTAAGCTTACTAAATATTTTCTGTTCCATGTCTAGAATTAATACTCAAAACTCGTAAAAGTAAAATTATATTTCTATTTATTATGATCAGTTAACTTAAAAAACATCTCTGTGGTTACCATCTAGGATCTGTATCTGACCTGTAATTCGAAAGTCAATGCTTTGTATCATTTATACATTATTTTTGTTGAAAACAAAATAAAAGTACATATTTGTAACTGCCTTTTTGCCTTACATTCAAATCAGAATACGAGAGGAACTTAGAAGAAAACGCACAAAGTAAGAAATATTTATTTATGCAATATGACTGAGGATATGAGATCTAGACACATCTACTATGGTCATTCTTCATGACTTATCAAGGTTAACTATCAAACCAGTTAGTTCATCCATTAAGTACATCCAAATCGAAAACAGTCATATACCCTTTGATGCAATTGCTTTGCTGGAACTTCTTCACGCAGCTTGCGTTTTAAATGAGAACCAAGCAATAATTATTTCAGAGCAGAGGAACGATAAAATCAGTGCAGGCGAAATCTGGATGTAGTCCGGGTTCTCTTCCCTCCTGCAAACATTTGTGAACTACATTCTACGTGTTTCTAGCTTTTGCGGCTTAGCATTGTTGTGAAAAAGTGTACTACTCCTCCTCTAGACTTGGTCATTTTCGTTGCATATCCACATGGAATTGTTTTTAGAATCATACAGCATTCATGTTGTGTCTATCCTCTAAGAAGTCCTCGAAAATCAAGCCTAACGAACTCCAATAGTAGATGGCATGACTTTTCATCAGAAGTTTCCTTTTTAAAATTTCTTCTTGTATCTTTCTCCGGGTGAAACACTCTATTCCTGATGGTAATACAATTTTAAAGCTATTTCTGTTTCTAATGACTATGTGATAATTAACTCTGTCTTTTTAAATGTAAGATTAGGACATTTCAAAAAAGTTATCATTCATATGATTTTCTGTGCAACAACTATTTCCCATAACAGCCACGTTAAACCTTGAAATCCCGTAAAACATGTACCGCAAAATATGCTGAATAACGCCATTTCTAAATTAACCTCGGATACAAAATACTGCGAAGTCAAACTTAGATCCTCCTGACTTATTTCATCAACCCTTGGAATGAATGTTATCATCGACGAATTCAGATGTCTATTATATGGATATTATCCATTTTCCTCATCCTACTCACACGTACTGACTGTAACGAGTGGTACCATTTAGCTACGTTATTTTCACCTCCCTCTATCGGCAAAGATTTAAATCAGCTGCCAATATTCTTCAACTGCGTGCGTAGGTTTGACTAACAGAAACATTAATACCTAGACCACGATGGACAAAGAGCTCCTACCAGCTCCACTTCTCAAATGTACATGCACTTTGTGGCATTTATACGAAATCTGTGTTCATTTTATAACAAGTTCAATCTTTCTTCCTGATCGACTTACATATCTTGTACATTTTTGAATGCCTTGTTCAGTAGCTTTCTATTTTGATCTTGAGGTTTGGCGATATTTAGCAACAGCTATTCAAATATCAGCTATTTTCATTCATGTTGAGTAAGTTCTGTGACTGGTATTCTGCACTTTCAGTTAAACTAGCAAATTATTTTGAAAAATCTTTTTACAATACATCTGTCACTTTACTGGTTATATCGATATTTTGTTGGTTTATACTTATCACGAATCAATAAAATCAATCATTGTTTGCTATAAATATGACATTTACCCACTTTTCACGTATTTCGTTTCTGTATTCTTGACTTTTTTTTTTTTTTTTTTTTGTTTTGTTTTGTTTTGTTTTTACATTTACTTCCCAAATACACTCTTTTGCAAAAAAACCGAAGCACCAAGAAGGACATTTGCGATCGTGTCGAAATTTGGTATGCAAAAACATCTTGATCGAACATGAAAATGAAGTTTCAAGGCAAATGAACAGGAATTGCGATCATAGCGCGCATTTCTAGTGCGCAATTCGCAAAGTATAAAACCAGTAACAGAGGCAGAAGATTTATCTTTTTTTGTTGCTGCCATTGTAAATCCGTAAAGAAGCAACTAGAGATGCCGTTACGACGATATTGAAGACCTTACAGATAACTAAACGACTTCGAGCGTGTTCGCATTGTAGGGTTGTTTGAAGCTGGGGGGTCATACCGAGCAATAGACCGCCAACTGCAGCGTACAGACACTGCTGTGCAAAGATGTTGGCAGCAATGGTTGCTACAAGAAACTTGCCGACGAAATGAAGATTCTAGAAGGCCAAGGAGCACAAATGCGAGGCAAGATAGGATGATTGTTTGCCAGACCTGAACCGCCCCAACGGTATCATTGTCGACTATTAACGCACTATAGCCACATCTATACCTCCCGTGGTACCGTCCACCATCTCACGGCGCTTGTCTAAAGTGGGGTTACGCTCACAGAGGCTTTTAAGACGTTTACCTTTGACCCCACAACATCAGCGGAGCCGTCTGGAGTGGGTATCGTATAGCGTTCAGTGATGAATCCCGCTTCACTCTTGAAGCAGATGACCACCGTGTTCGTGTCTGGAGAGGATGGGGTCAGCGGTCCCAATCCGCCTTTCTTTTATAAAGACATACAGCCATAATCCCTGGTGTGGCGTGGGCAGTTATTTCTTATGACAGCAGGTGATCTTTAGTCATCCTCCGTACATCTTTAACAGCTTAACGATATGTTGATACCATCCTGCGGCCGGTTGCATTTCCCTTTGGGCAGGTCATCCTGGAGCCAATTTCCAACAAGATAATGCCAGGTCACATAGCGCTCGCATATCTTTGAGCTGTCTCCTTGGCCATCAAGGTCACCAGACCTTTCACCAATCGAACATGTCTGGGACATTGTAGGCCGGCAGATTCGGGCACCACAAAATATCACAGATCTGGAGCGACAACTGATGAATACCTGGCAGAATGTGTCGCAGGATGACATTAGGAACTTCTACCACTCCTTGCCTCGACGAATTCAAGCATACATTGCCGCCAGGGGCGGTTTGACCAACTACTCATTTGATCACTCAGTGGGTGATTGTGAGCTCTGAACAAGTACTGCAATCTTGATTTTTTAATTATTTTATTATCTGTGTTTGAGCTATACACATGTTCAATTTCATCAAAAACAACCACTTCCTTAATGATGCTTCGATTTTTTTGCGAAAGAATGTATATCACGATTCATATTTTATGTCACATTTTGGATTTGCCATTTGATAAAAGGTTTATCTATGATAGAACAGACTTACCGTATTCTTTTATGCAATTCGCTAGTTTGGGCAAAATTCCTTAATCCTTTTATCCTTCTTTAGAAAAGGTAAAAGATGTATTGCAATGTACACTGAACAAAAAAAAAAAAAAAAAAAAAAAAAATTAGTTCTGTATCTCTGATTGACGAAATTCAGCTATCGTTTTTCATGTTTCAAAGGCGCGACTTAGGATATGTATTATACTTATATATAGCATTGTTCTAATATAGGTATTCAGTATTTTGACACAAAATCGGACTTTTTTCTGAAATAAAATGCCAATTTTTTCCCATATTTGATTCTACGACTCAAGTTATGCCAAAAAGCAAGTTTTGTAAATATCGCCCGAGTAGTTTTTAAAAAATTAGCTCTCAAAAATTTTAACTGCTCCATGTTAATTGAATTTGGTATACATTTATTAATACCACTTTTTTATTAAAATTATTTGATTCTTCCTTTCACGCTTTGAAATTTAGGTTCATTCCAAATAAAATTCGCCTATTCTTTAGGATTTATTTTTAAAATTTCTATTTTTAAATAATTTTTATTAATTTTTCGAAAAGAGCTCTGAATTATAACCTATAAATGTTTTACCATCCTCTTAAACTAGATGTATTTCTAAGCATACTTGCAAAAAATTAGAATTTTTTCTTTAAAATTTCCTAAGATAAATGTGAATCTTTATACTGGCATGTTTTGAAATTTGGCTTATTTCTTATAAGCCATAATAACGCCGAATGTGGCTTACGCACTTTGTCAAAATTACACTCTTTTGCAAAAAATCGAAGCACCAAGAAGGACGTTTGAGATCGTGACGAAGTTTGGTATGCATAAACATCTTGATCGAACGTGCAAATGAACAGGAACTGCTGTCATAGCGCGCATTTTTAGTGCGCAATTCTCAAAGTATAAAAGCAGTAACAGAGGCGGGAAATTTATCTTTTTTTGTTGCTACCATTGTAATTCCGTAAAGAAGCAACTAAAGATGCTTCGAATGTGGTCGCACTGTAGGGTTGCGTGAAGCTGGGTGGTCATACCGAGCAACCTGCTCGCCTGGCCGCCACCTGCAGCGCACAGACACAGATTTTGGCAGCTATGGTTGCTACAAGGAAATTGCCGACGAAATTAAGACTCTGGAAAGCCAAGGAGCACGAATGCGAGACAAGATAGGATGACTATTCAGCAGGCACGAACTTCCCCAACGGTATCATTGTCGATTAGTCAACGCACTACAGCCACGTCTAAACCTCCCGTGGTATCGTCCACCATCTCAGATGGAGCAACAACTGATGAATTCCTAGCAGAATGTGTCGCAGGATGACATTAGGAACCTCTACCATTCCTTGCCTCAACGAATTCAAGCATGCATTGCCGCCAGGGGCGGTTTGACTAACTACTAATTTGAACACTCAATGGGTGATTGTGACTCATGAACAGGTACTATGACCTTGATTTTTTAATCATTTTATTATCTGTGTATGAGCTATACACATATTCAATTTTATCCAAAACAACCACTTCCTTCATGGTGCTTGAATTCTTTTTCTCTGCAAAAGAGTTTATTTGAAAGTATGTAGGATGACTTTTTTTCCGCTCGTGTTCAATGAAAAAAAGTAAAGGAAAATAGGTTGCTATTAGTTAAGAAGTTCGTCAAGTAAATAATTCCTTGGCGCAAACTGATAAAAATCCGCCAAGATAAATTTTTGAATTTCTCCATAAATTTCGCACCAAATTTTACAAAATTTAATATTTATTCACAATTTGAATCGTAGAATCAAAATATGGGGAAAATTGGCATGTCATTCGAAAAGAATCAGATCTTGTGACAAAATACCTATATTGGAACAATGCTATATATAAATCTAATATATATGCTAAGTCACGCTTTCGAGGTATGAAAAACGCAAGTTGAATTTTGTCAATCGGCCCAGTAGAACGAATGATATAACTCCCCCCCCTCGCAGTGTGCATATCTTTCTTATAGGTAAAGTGGTATACTAAGCATTTGTTGATTATTTTTCTTTTCTTTTTGAATACAATTGTTGAGGAGAAGAAAAGTCTTTCGAAAATTCCCGACATAATCTTTAAAGATTTTAACATTTATTACCTTAAAATGTATTCATATTTAACTTTCTTTATTCAAAAAGTTTCAAAATAAAAATTATATATTATAGATGTAAAATAGAATGAAACATTTTTGACACTCCCTCAAGCATATGCTTATTGATTACTGCTTTTTTTTCGATTCTTTTTTGTTTGATATGAAATTATAAATTCCTAACCCTCAATTGTGGGTGCATGATACTAATTTAACGAAAGTTTTCTCCACAATTTAGTATAAATGTCACATTTTTTTCTCTGCCAAAACTTGCTGCTGTTTATTTTATCAACTTTTATTTATGTATTGAGTATTTCTTATATTATATTTACTACTTTTTAAATTAACAATAATATAACATCAGCAATTATTTTTTATTTATTCTTACTTTTAATCAATAAACTTTCAATTCCATAAAATTAAAAAACAAAAACGTACCTTTTGAAGTTACCTTGTACACAAATATTTTCAGTTTCTTAGATCCATTATCTTATCTAGTCTTTTTTTTTTTTTTTTTCTCTTAATCATCTTTTTCAGTTCGCTGTCCAGTAATTCAAATATTCTTCATCCGACTCCTCAAAGGCCAACTGTTTTAGTCACTCCAAAACCTATATTTGGAACTGCCATTGAACAGACAGAACCTGTTGATTTCTCCACAGGCACAACAACAGCCACCAGAGTTGGAGTGATAGCGGGACCATTGGCTCCAGTTACTGTGCAACCACTATTAGCGCCCAACGACTCTTTACCTCTCTCTCCCCCTCCTGCGATTGTTCCACAGGCTCCTCAGGCTCCTTACCCTTCTCCCATTCGCTCTCCATTCTCCCAAATCCAAAGCCCAATCACGCTGCAGGCCGCGGTGCCTTCTCCCCATCCGACTTCATTACCAGCATCTTTACCTTCTGCCTTATCAGCCTCGTTGCCTCCTAGTTCTTGCCAACCTGTGACTGTGTCTCTTTCAAGCCCTCATCATCCTATCGGCCTGCCAGCTCCTCAACAATGTGCTGGACGCCTAGCGGGATCTACGACAAGCCAAGTGCAGACTGTGCCATCCACCATCCAGGTTAGCTCTTATGTAAGCATTGCTGGAATACAATATATCATTTTACTTTTAATGACTGCTTTTTTATCTGTTTAATTAACTGAAACTAGTAATTTCGTATTAGTTGAGTAGTTTTATAGATGAGAAAAAAGCTGATCATCAGTAAAAGGAAATTTGGATGCAAAACCTATAACTTTATCCGCATTTCACGTGCTGTCTCAATTCTGTTTAAATCAACCATAAAAACTTTACGTGGTGACCTCCTATCGAAAGTGATTAGTTTTGAAAATTACAAGCGTCGATAGTCATATTCTTCTATGGCGACCACTGAAGACCAAAACCATCCGGAATTCTGAGTGCTTGCTTTACTAGTATTAAAACTTATTCTGAGCGCTATTCTGAGTACTGAGAGGTTTACCGTTCATTTCCATAACGGCGATGTTCACGTTTCTATGTTAGATGTGTTTTTGCACTGTATTTTATGTTCTTGTTTCTTATTATCTTGTATGGTAATTCTTCGTTACAGGTGCTGTCTTCCACCCAAACGGCCAGTATACCGCTCTCATCCGTCAATTTCAACCCTTCCTCATCTTCATCTTTTACTATTGCGTCACTGTCCACATCACATGTCCCCTCCATTTTAGCCTCTTTGGCACAGACTCTTGTTGTCACTGCCACTTCCCATCCACAGGCTCAGCAAACACAATCAGCTCCATTAATCAGGTTAGTATCAGCTAAAATATCCGCTCAAATTGCTAGAGAATTTCATAGTATAGTTGATTAAAACATCCCATTTTCTTTTACAAAACTGTTTTGATCAAATAATTCATTTACTAATCATAAATGTCGTCGATTAAGTAGAGTGGTTAAACATCTGTATAACGACCATTCGTATCTATTCCACTGTAACAGCTGGTAAAAAAAACTCTCGTTTGATAAGAATATAGTATATTAAATCCTATTTTCACCATAGGCACCATTCGTTGCAATGACCATTTTCTTTAGAACGCAAGGGATAGTTTTAACGAGAGTCACCTATATTGGTTTTTCTTTCTTAATAACGAATAATATTTGCTGATAAAATAAAGCTCCTTCAAACGTTAAGTTGCTGTTTCTAAAGAGTATTCCTGGGAACCTTCATGCGAGAACTTAATGATTATAACTAACATAGGCATAAATTTGTTGTTAAGCAACTATATTGAGACATTGCAATTCTGGAAACAGTGAATAGGCTAAATCGGCTATGCCTTCGCCGGTATTCAAACGCTGGATTTTTCCAACGGCTAGTCGAACGTGCTACCTCTTACAATACGAATCTTGCACAGAGGGAAAGCGAAAATTCTGTATATTCTCTTCTAATTAAAGGGCGATTGGAGAAAGGAGATTCAGTCGCCAAATCCTGATGGATACGAATTGCTGTCCACCACATTTTAGTGGGGCGCCACTAGAACTATTTGAATTTGAATTGTAGAACTATTTGAATTTTTAAAAATTAGGAAGACGAAACATCAGCTATATCTTCGACATAAATTTAAATTGCAGATCTTCCGTTTGCCAGATAAACGTGCTATCACGTACACCACAATGTCATGCAAGGGGGAAAGGTTCAAATTCGTTACCAATTAGACCTAGTCACGGAAGCTGGTGTACGAATATTAGCTAAACTTAGGGATCGGCAACCTTTTTTTACTATGAGTACTTAATTCAGAAACGCAGGACTTCGGACGGAACCGTAATAGTGAAAAAAAGTCTCTCCACTTTTGCATTTTTTAGCAACCGATACATTTGAATTGCATAATAAGCGTACTTTTTTTATAATAAATTACAAATTCTTTTTTCCACTCAAAATTAAAAGGATGTGTCTCCGCCCTCCTATTTCTTTCTTCCGTAGCGGTACTCTGCTTGTAATTCGAAATAAAAAGTCATAAGATGACAAATTTATATGCGAAAGAGTTTACGGATGTAGTACGCCGTGGGTGGACAGAGGACACGAGGAAATTTGGGCATAAAATAATTCACCGTATGCGGTGTCAGATGTTTCTAGCAGTTGGAAATGGATTCATCTAGTCATGTAACTATCTAGATGTCCCTAAGATTTGGTTTTTGTCAAAGGTTTGACTATACAATTAGCACAGTTTTTTAAATGTAGAATAAAAATTTGAATTTTTACTAAAATTGTTCTTTAGAATTGCAAGTGTTTGTTGACCATATATCTAACTTTTAGAATTTAGATGTATGAACGTTCGGCATCTCACAATTCGCGAATACCTTGAAACCGCCGGGCATTGCGTTGCCGACGGGTATTTTAACTTTTTAATTTTACGCCAAGATTGCCTAAAAGCCGACTATTCATATGGATGCAAGCAAGCTGGAGACCTATGGACACATTCACGCATGTGCAAGTTTACTTTCCCGATTGACTGCTGATTAAGCCAAAGAATATAATGTTTTAATGCATATTCTTTGGCAGTAGTCAGACTGGTTTAAATTACGACTATGGAAACCTTCCTTCTTTAAATACGTGTTCTTAAGCTATGTTCGACAGATGTGAGCGAAAGGAACGATCAACCTTAAGGAATGCAACCCAAAAATCTTCAAAAAAAGATGATTTGGGATTTTTGCATTTTTCAGATTCTCTACCGTTTTAGCTTTCTAAAAATATCATATTTTAATCTCTTTGAAAATTAGAGCTGTAAAAAATCTAGTTTTAATTCATCATCGAATGCTTTGATAAATGTGGATTTTTACATAAAAATGTGTTTTTCTGCAAATGTGATTTATTTATACTCGATGTACCTTTTCTCAGGAACTACTGCTCACAGGTATGTGGGTTTATTATGGCTTATTTATTATGTTTCCAAGTATTTATTAAAATAAGCTTTTTGTAATAAACTAAGAAAACAGTTCACAATTTTTTTATGAGAAAAGAGCTAAATTTTATTATACCCAATATTCTATAAATTACTCTTAAACTCAAAATGTTTCAAAAGCCCATTGCAGTATAATCAGATAGGCGTACTTTAATTACACAAAGAACTCAAACGTGTATGTACAGTATATTTTGAGAAAAGGCGCATCGAAAATGGCCAATTTAACATTGTCAGTATAGGTAGTTCCAACTCCCCTTAACGCCGTATGACTATGACAACCGTGATTTTAAGCCTTCCTGTGAACATACAATCCGATCGAAATGTACTTTTTCTGTACGAAATAGCTTTTATTTCTGTAGAAATCTGGCGTCAGATTTATTCCTTAATTGATAAATAAACTAAATAGATTAAATGGGTTAATATTTATTTCAGGCAAATAGATTTTGCGTGATAAGAGAGTTCCTAAAGTTTTAGTTCATACTGACAGATATAGGACATACTAAGATTGGATTAAGAAGTGGGTTATATGGGCAGGCCGTTTGGGGAGCTAAGTTTAAAGCGGCCCTAAATATATCAGAAAGTTAACATAAATAAGCAGTTTCCATTTGCAGACATTAAATATAAAATGCACCAAAGATGTCTTCTGTCTGGGACGCAAAAAACATCTTCACCTACTCTGAGTGGAAATAATGTTTAGTCTTTAAATATTTCGATATACTTTGTAGGGTTTACTTAACTCAAAATGTATATCCCTTGATGCTTGAGTACTTGAAACTTTCCGTGTCTTGTAGAAGATTTTATTAATTCTTGTAGTAGGATAAAACAGCTTAATTAACTAAGAGTTTAATGAAATAGTCAAGCAAGTTTATATCGCTTATTTGGAGAAAGATTTGGCGAGAAAGATTTGAGTGTATTTGTGCGAACAAATGCATTGCACATTTTGAAATTCTTTTGGTTGTTGATACTATACACCTTTAAAATTCTTGCCGCAACAGTGTGATAACAATGTTTATCATTTGCTTAAATTTAATTTATAATGTAAAACTCAATATCCAGATTAACTCGAATCACAGTTCATCATAATATTCGGAAAAAAATTGAGTTTTCATTTTTCTATAGGCCAAGTACTTATTTATTTTAATGCAAGCGAACGAATTTTATTCTTCCGTTTGTTATATTTTATTTAAACGAATATTCCGTAATAAAAAAATAAAGTAATTTTATTACCTTAAAACAAAACTGAAAATTATCTTTTCGGATCGAATTAAAGAATGGCATTATTTTTATATTCTTCTAAAAAAATTTCTATTTTAATTGAAATTAAATAAGGAAAAATCGCAAATTATTTACATAAACCTTGAAACTAAACCTATTAAATATGTTTTTATATTTGTTAAGTTAAAACTAAAACTTACTTTTTATTTTTATTTATTAACTTTTTTTTTAATTTGTCCGAAACGAAATGCGAAACACAAGCAGTTTAATTCTACGTGAAAAGCAGGTAGTTTAATACTACCTGCTTTTTACGTAGCATAATTCGCTTATTTGTATTTTAATCTATTATTTTATCCGACTACTCTTATAAAATGCACGTGAATTATATTCACCACGAACTCGTATTATGAGACAGATAAGAAACGAATTTCTTCAACGCTGTAAGATTCAGTCCTGAACAGGATTGTTAACATCGTTATTAATATTTGTAAAATTATGAGTGTTGCTCAAAGAACCATATGTTCATGTTTACAAAGTAGGTAGGTAAAATTTATACGAGATACCTAATATTTAACTTATTCTTCTTATTCCCATACTATTTTTATGTCAGAGATAACAAGGAACATGTTTATTCTCACTAAAAAATAAGCAAATGTAGGTTATGGCCCGTTCACATTTGGTTCCCAGCGATGTACAAAACTCAGAACTAGCTCGTTCACACTCGTACGAACGCTCGGCAAGCGTTAGCTTCTGATATCCAATGAGCAAGATAGAAATCGCCAGCTTTCTTTTGTTTACATTTCGTTTCAAATAATATTTTTACATGTACTTTGATATATATTATACAATACAAAAATAATGCTGTTCTACTATGTTATTGTAATATAATATTAATTTATTATACAATATAGCAAGGGTTTACAACATTTAGAACAAAATCATAACAAAAATAAATTTGTTTGATAATCAGTGATTTTAATTTTTTATGTAGCTTATGATCAACTTGAAATGTATATATATTTATTTAAAATTTTATATGTTTAATTTCGTTCAGTATGAGTTAATTTTAAAAGCACGAAACTTTTAAAAGAAGGAAATGTATTATTTCATTCGCTTATTTGTAATTTGCTTAAAATTTACCACCTTTGAGTTTTATAGTAGGTTTTATCATATTTATATGCATAGTTTTATTATATTGTTTAAAAAACTGTACTGAATTTCAGTTAAGGTAGGCGATATCAGTTATACAATTCACTTACCGTTTCGTAATATAAGCACAAAGTTAACTGTCATCGACGAGAGAAAATAAAACCTTACTTATAATTATATATATATATATATATATATATATATATATATATATATGTATAAAGAGAGAGAGATAATTTTTCAGTTAATTATTTTATGAAATGAGTTATCGTTGGCCGCACGTAAGTTTCAATAATCACGAATATCAGGTTCATGTTGAAACAATGCTGACAGTTGTGCATTCCCGAAAGTACATTAGATATCGCCGAGCCTTGCTGACTGTTGAGCTCCGCCCCAGTTTCGAGGGGGAAATCCTTTGGAGTAGTCCGAAGGTCTTCCCGGCCTCTTTCCCTGCTATGAACCACTCAAGAGGACTACTGGCTCGCCGTGTATTTTGAGTGACCTCCTTGCCGCACAGATATTACACACTTACAAATATCCATGCCTTTTCCAGGATTTGAACTCAAGCCCATTGGTATGACTCATTAATAATATCATATAATTTATTATGGTATCAAAGGTCATTTATAATTGGGTATCTTATTTGGAATTTTCTCTCACTGAGATAAATTTTAAATATTCATCAATTTCTAGATCTCCTGCAAGTACAGCAGCTCCCAACAACATTGCTGCGTCTCCCTGCCTCACTTTGTCCGTTACAACAGTGCTGACGCCCACTTCCAACACACAAAGTCAGTGCGTCACAACTTGTGGAGCTACACGTCAACTTACTTTAGTCACTCCATCTCATGACTATACCTGCGATAAGGACAGGTAAGATGCCAAATACGTTATTCCTCTTTTTTTTTCCCCGTAGTTAGCATTGTTTTGCGGTTAATTCTGTATGAGAGTGAAAATAACACACTTTTATTTACATCAGAAAAATATTTTTAAATTGATCATGACTGTAAATTCTAATCGGATACAAAATTTTAAACGAATTAATGGAGAAATATAGAAGAAGGCTATCATATCAGGATTTTTTAAATATTTTACTTAGTTACCTTAAACCAAAATAATAAATATTCAACATTTAATTAACTTAATTATTATAGTATTATAGTAAATATACATTAACTATATACCAAGAAATTACGTACTTCGTTCAATTTAGTGAAATCCAAGAAAACAACGAAATCGGCGTATAAATCAATTAAAGCATAGACGCTTTCGGACACTTTACTCTATTATTGTATTCTTTGGCTACAACCAAATGAAAGAAGAACGATGAAATTGAAGATCATATAACTGTTAAGAACCATTTCCAAAGATCGAAGTATTCCAGTTACCCACTCATTGATCATGTCAGTCTGAAATCGATTAAATAGATGTTTTGTAAGTCTCACGTGTATACGAATTTTATTTCTCGAAGTCCCAGGTTTTCTGCATAAGCGATCCCAGGCTCAAATTAACTAAGAAATCAGTTCTTTTATGCTTGCTACAGCCAAGACTCAACATATCCCTTTAAAAACTGAGTGTTGTTTTGGTGAAAGAGGCCCAGCATTCTAAGATTGGTTTGTTCTCTAAGGCCATCAAAATTTTTTAATTCTCATAGAAATTCGTAATAGATATTTATTTTCTTCTCGGAATAGACTCGTAGATGTTTTCTACACCATCCACAGTACTCTATCTTCCCACCTATCTCCTTCTCCTTTGTTTTTCCTCGAGCTCCTTTTTTTTCTGCTTCTCAAACCAATTCTAGAGTTGCCGCTCTTTAAATCACGGCACTAACACTGGTAGTAAAAGAAAAAAAAACTATCCAAGGAGTGACGAAGACCTTTCACTATAACACAACGGCGCCCTCTGTAACGAAGGTAAATGGGAAAATAAGAAAGAAGTCTAAAGCATCAAATCCCATCTATAAATTAAAGATGTAATCAGGTATTCAAATAAATCAAGCATTGTTCTTTTGTAGACTAGAGATAATACGGATTAAATCCTTCATTTCGTTCATCCAATGCAGTGTTTCCGTCTTTTTAGTTTCAATCAAAAAGAGCAATTAGTAATTTATTTATCCACCAATTTCATTGTTTTTGAGTTTTACTAGCTTTCCTTTCTAAAGGCTATTTTGCTGAATTTCATAAAAATTCTTTGCGTCGCTTTATGATGTTGAAATCTATTTTTCAAGATCCTTTTAAAAACTGAAGAAATATTAAGTCTTAGCATGCATCTAACGGCTATTTTAATTACTATGGAATCTCATTTTATGAACATAATTAGTTCCCGAACCTTACTTCTAATACGAAACCTTCGTTAAGCGAAAACAACTTTTTCCATAGGAATCGGTATAAAATAGGATAATGTATTCCATTCTCAAAAAAAGAATATTTAAACAAATTCGCAGCTTGCATTTGCCCAAAAAATCGTGAAACGGTCTTTTGTTTTATGACCCGGCGATGCCTTCTCTGCTGCTTCAACATCTTTTCCCAAAAAAAACCGGTCTCATCACAATTAAAAAACCTGCTGCCCCAAATTATCCTCGGAATTCACAAGCTTCTTGAATTCACTTCTGGATTGAAGTTCTTGGCTGCCTTTAGGTGCTAACTTGCTGCTTCCCTGTGCTTTATAATGTTGTAAATGCCGGTTCTTCTGTTAAACATTTCGAGCTTTGAAAGCTTCTACTTTCTCCTTTGATGATTCTGTCGCCTTCTTAATAAGGTCGCCAAAATTTAGTTTTGCTTTCTTACAAAATATGTTTGAGTTAATAGCGCTTCTGTTTGATCCATATGAAAAGTAATCTTTCAACATCGTTGAGAATACGTAGCCACTGCGTAGAAATTCCTGTGGCATCTTTCAAGCATCAATATTCTTAATCTTATCCTTGTTTTTGAGGATAATGCAAATCGTTCATAGGCGATTATATGTGCGTGTTGGTTCAGACAATCTCACACCTCGTCCTCGCTTCTCAACGATTTAGAGTTTGACTTCTACAGTGATTTTTATTCTTTTATCCATGTCTTCTTGTGGCATTTTCTTTGGGTACAAACATGTAAACATGCTTTAACGTTGCTCTAAAAAAACATGCGCACTAATGTGTCTAAATACAATTTTCGCAGGCTACAGTAAGATGCGGGCTGAAGGGAAGCTAAATAAAGACTGACAGCCGAAATGTAGGCAAGATCCTGTATGTGTTGTCACGATGTCTCCGCATCACTCGTTCTGCTTGACATCACTTAATTTTACACTTTGTTTTCCTCGTTATGCAGATTAGTCGTCATTGGAGGTACTCGTTAAGCGAGGCTTGACTGTATAACATCAAAATTATATTCAGATTTGCTGTTTATTTAAAGCTTATTTAAAATTTATTATTTAAAGCTACCTTCCTAATAGCAAGTGCTTTAAAGCCTGTTAATTTTTAATTGGTTAAACTCATTCTCAATTAATAGATATTGCTTACTTAAACTGTAAACTTGATTGAAATCTTAATCTTTAAAATCTACTGGAGAAAAATGCAGTTTGTTTAGATCTAATAGAATATTTTTGTGATTTTTTTTAATATTTCGGTTGGCAATAATCTGCTAAATAGCGCTCTTCCTACTGACTGATGAACTGCATTATCAAAACGAAATACCTTGAATTTCAGGATACCTTCACCTAAACTGCTAAAGAATGCCTTGACAGCAGCGAAAATCCGGGAAAGTCGCGAGCCTGTTCATTGTCCGACACCTGGTTGCGATGGTATGGGACACGTATCCGGCAATTACGCTACTCATAGAAGGTACGTAACTTTAAATCATATTTTATTTCGTGATTACATCCAGCATGGTATGGAATATCTGGCATTCTTCTGCAGTGGTATTACAAGAAGAATTAATGAATTGAAAGAAACAGTTTTGAGGAATGAGTATTTAAAATTCTTAATCGAAAATTTTAAAATATTTAACGAAATTTTTATTCTAAATTTTATTTGCATTCTGTGCAAAACTACGTAACGGCCGTATTTTTCTACTACAGGATGGCACTCGAAATATCATACCCTTGTTTATTACACATTTATTTATCATTGAAGTATTACAAAATTAGTATATACTTAAGTGTCTGAGCATGAAAAGTGAGTTTAGTGGAGAATATGGTTCAATATATCCCCTCTTCTGTTTCAGAACCTCTTTCACAGGAATCTTGTATTTGTCAAAACCCTCTGACACACTGTCTTCTGAAATTACACAGCATAACTGCAGATAAGAGCTTTGAGTTATCTTATATTTGGAAGCTTTCTTGAAAATAACTTACTTTTCAAAAAAATCTCGTAAGAAAATGCCACATGGATTAATATTCGGGCTATACCGAAGGAAAAGCATAATTCTTAAGTGAACGTCGGTATAGCAACCGAAAGAGGGACTTTGAGTACGGACGACTGGCTTCTACTGCTCTTACGACGCTGAATCTTTGAAAGCTATCGTTTCATCGTTTACAATTTGTTTCGGGATATCCAACATGAATTTGTATTTCTTTCAAATTCAACTAGAGAGTAATATCTTCGCAATTTTTCTTGTTTATTGGCTCGACAGCCCAAGGTGAGCCCTTGCCTTCTCCAGGTATCTCTGCTTTTGGCAACTGTTTTCCTAACAATTGCTTACATTTGATCTAATTTTGCATTGGAAATTTTCACAAGAGAGCCACGATGATTTAATTATTTTGTACAGTAAACTGGGCGGCAAAACCTTTTCAAACATCTGGCTTTAAAGGCTAAAGTCACGTGACATAGCGGAAAAATTACTGAATGTCCATTAGTCAATTCTAGAAGCTCCTTCCTTCGTTTGCGATACCGATGTGCACTTACGAATTATGTATACGGGGCCATTGCTTCCCACCTTCGCAATGTTCAGAAGACAGGCGCAATATTACAATCATATTAAACTCTTTATGCAGGAAATAAAGAACAACCATTGCTATTTATGGATGGGCTCCGTCTGGCCTGAACCACGGAGTGTGCAAAAAGAGACCTGCTGCCATTTTTCAAGTGCGCAGGCGCTTGATGTTTGCCATGAATTTTTTCCACGGCCAGTGGCTTCCAATTGCTGACACAATCTGTGTGAAGATTTTACTTGCGAAGATCTCATCTTGTATCAAAATATTCACGAAAACTTTTCGTTTCTCCGAAAAACATTACAGTTTTCGTCTTCTGTTCAACACTCAACCGGCCATTATCCTCCATTTTGCAGATTGACATTTCGTGGCAAATTAGAATATGGTACTGAATTCTCCTGACATTTGCCACATTTTCCATGAGCAAAAGCACCCGAATACACGTTTCTAACATTTAACGAACAATTTTAGAATTTTCATATAGTGATTGAACGGTACGCCATTTTGTCTACTATTCTGTGTATTTAAAAGCCATGAGTAGTAATAAATTTTTGACCTGCTTCTGCTGATAAAAGCAACTACGGGGTCTATAACGGAAAGAATGTCTACTGTAACGTCTTGGAATATCTGCTTAAACTGTTACCTGATTTTATCTTAGAGAGCATACGATCATTTTAAAAGGGAAAACTGCCAATCGAATATTCAAACTTCTCGTTTTTTTATGACTGTCTCTCATGGCGGTCATTCTCGGCTTCATAACTGGCAGTGCGTTTAAGACCTCTGATTACTTGTAGTTCAATCCGTATTGGAATTAGCTAAGCAATCTGCTTCATGAATGCTTTTACTGTTTTTCGCCATGTATAACATGGATACGAGCTAGAACGTCCTCCACTAAGGCATCCCTACCCTTAGGCAGATAGCCTTTCTGAGCTTAGCTATATTCAGATAACCTAAACTAACCATCTCATAGTGACCCCTCAGATCCAGTTTTTCATCGTTCTAATCAGAGTGTTTTTCTGGATTAAAAGAATGAGAGGATTGCCCTTTATCAAACTTTGGATTTTACTTTAAAAGAATACTTAAATTAGATGTTTTTAGTTAAGCTCACCAAGACAAACGTTATTATAAAAAGGAAAGAAACAAGAATCAACGAATTCAATTCTCTCTAAGTACTCATTAACAATTTTAATTTTAAAACCCGCCGTTATTAGCAGCTTTTTAATGTCCTATGATCAATAACATTTGAACAGTTAAAAAAATTATATTTTAATTTATTTAAAAAATGTTTTTAAACAGCTCTCTTTATACCTTTTTTCTAGTAATTAGAGGGAAAATAAGAAAGAACGGAAACCATTGCCTCTGAAGTTATAAAATTATTTCTTCTGATCAATGAAATAAAGAAGTTCGCAGGATGTCATCATTTTCGTTTCGAAATCTCCTTTTTAATCTGACTATATAAAAGTACATTCAATTAGCTCAAAATTTTATTTGATTTAGAAATTCGATCTCATCCTCACTTGAAATCATGAGGCTGCTAATAATGAAAGATTTGATTTTTTTTTATTTAACAATTTATAAGTATTAGCAGCAATAAATTACCTATAAGAGGAAGGGGGGTTGTTTTTGAAAAATCTTTAAATCTCGATAAACTGTCTACTGAAGAGCTTTATTTAAAGATTTATTTTTCAGTCTAATGGTCCAAAGGTCATAATTCTGGGATGATTACTTTGTTCACTAAGTAAAAATATGTGACGAAACTTCAACACTAAATTTTAATTTTAAAAATATATATCTAATTTTGAAAACATTTCTATGTATTGTATATATCGCTATCCGAAATAGTTACATGTGAAAATTTTCATGAAAATTTGTATGATAGAAAAAGAATAAAAATTAAGATTCTTGTCGGATTTACCGGCGACCAGTAGCTTAACTATCAAAGTAGCAGACCTAAATCATGACTAAATGGTAAGAATAATGAAATCGTTTTCTTCATCAGTATTTTTTCCCTTTTCAAATTCAAAATAATGATAATTTTAAATTTAGCATCAACTGAAAATTGAAGCTATTGCATTCTTCCAAAAAAGAGGTATTTTACTCTCCAGCAGAATTTCCAGAAACGGGTATGAAATAAAGTTATGTAACCTCGCGGAATTTCATACGGAGATACACTATAGAAAATTGTTAGGAAAAGAAGGCCTTGGAATCGACAACTGATTCGAGGTTTCAAAATCACAATTCTTAATAGCCGTAATCTACAGTAGCCCACCTGGGGGGGGAAATTTTTTTTTTTTTTTTTTTTTTTTTTGTTTGTTTTTCTCCTAAGCAGGAATATATACTGTTGGAATTTTTAGTCCAAATGGACTTTGTCCTTGAAGGACTATTGTTTTCGTTTTGCGATTTTGCATGCATTGGTTCACTATAAATGTCCGTTTCACTTTCAAACTTTTGCCACCAAATGTTAGTGTCCTGTATTATACTCGTATTTGAAGAAATTAAATAATGAAAAATCTACATAAATGTATGTATATTTCTCGCATTGTGATAAAACAACGGTACATAGAATTTTGAATGACGTAATCCTACTGCGAATATGGGCATGTAGAAGCCCAAATTTGAAATTTGGAATTAGTTTTATTATCAATTTCATATTTTGTGAAACTTTAACGATTTTTTGATTAACAAACTCAAGGATTTCAAATCGAGCAATGGCAACGTTGTACAGAAAAAAAAAGAAAAAAACATTTTTATCGCCAGCGCGCGAGACTCTGTATCGGAAATTCTAAAGATATGCTCAATTTAAAACTATTTTGCGATATTGCTCTTGAACTAAATTTTATGGTTTAAGTGCGAAGAACGTGACATTTAATAAATAAAGGTAACAGACAAAATGTTAAAAAATGCCCCCTTTGGACGTAATTTAAAATCTGAAACTTTTCAGTTCCCCCACCACCACCAAAATTCCGAAATTCCATTGCTGAAAAACCTTTTTGAGGGGTGAGACGCCTTAATTTGGTGACAGTTTTTCTTTGCGCTTTGGTCGCGGGTAAAACCGGAAAGTACCAAATTATTTTTAAAGTCTAAACAAACAAGCAAAGCAAATCGTGTAAAAAGGAAAACCAAGATGAATGAAACCATGTAAAAATTAAACAAACATGGAACTGATAGTTAATATCTGGGAATATTCAAACCATATGTGTGCATTTATTCACGAACTATTACTTTCTTTATCAACATGTTAGTAATAAATGTTAGTAAATTTCAAAACGAATAACAGAATTTCAATTTTGGCTATATAGTTAATGTTAATTTAATATTATATCAAATCAAGTTCTTATTTTCGCTTAAATTAGCTTCAGAATACCATTCATATGCTTTCAAGAAGTCCACGTAACCAAGGCTATGAAATCCTGTTTCACAGAATAGAAAGAAACTAAAATTTTTCGAAAATATACATGAAACATTTTTATTGCATGAATCTTTTATCTTTAAGAAATTTCAAAAATACAAGGAATGGTAGTGGTTGGCGAAAGAAAAGCTGATAAAGCAGCGTATGACTTAATGAATGGCCAAAATAAATTGAATAGCGGCTTGAAATCCATATTGACGAACATAATGAAAGGATTATTTCTTCTTTTTTCAGTTTATCAGGTTGTCCTCATGCTGATCGCTGCAATTTACAGGCCCAGCATCAAGATCTAAAGTGAGTGTTAGCTTCATTAATTTTGTTTAATTCCGGAAACAAATGCATGTCATTTTGAAAATTCCATATTAACTTCTAATTCTAGTTTCATCGTTTAACTAAATTCATTGCCACTTTCAAAGTTTAAGTTTTAAAAATTCTGCTGGGGAAGTGTTACCGTACAGTTTAATTTTATAATAACAAAAAAAAAAAAAAAAATAGTTATTATAGGCAGTTTTTAATTTTAAGAAAACAAATTCCGAAATTAATTTCAGAAAAAATTTAGTAATTATATTGTTTTGTATTTGTTTACGGGATGTAAAAAAGAAAAAAAATTGCAGGTATTATAAACTAAAAAAACAAAGCGTTCTTTAATATATTTTATGTTAATTAATATTTTAAATATTATTTTTTTCCCATTGAAGCAAACCAGTGTACTTACCCTTATCTGAAACTTTCAAAACCAAATGCTTCAAGATCTCAGTATATACAGAAGTGATTTTACAGTTATATACCTAAAACATTAAACAGACTTTATTTTATTCTACGAAGCATTTTATATAAAAATAGTTAACATGGCATAAAACTATTTTAGTCTTATATTAAATCAATTTGTACTTATTACACCATTGGCATTAACTATAGCCTTCTATTTGATATTGCCATGTGCTTGATAACAGTTATTTTAAGTTTATGCCTCTTTCCTATCGTTCCTGGCTTCAGCTTCCTGAATAGCGCGCGTTTGCCTTTGGGCTACATCTCTCTAAGCTGTTATTATACTCGGCTGTATTACATGCCTTTTGATAGCTTAGGGGCTAATTTAATATTACTGGCCAACTAGTTTAGAATTGTGCTAAATTTCTTTAGCTAATCATTAATTAGTTCTTATTTCTTACATTTTGAGTTTAAGCCCAAGTGGAGGCTTTGCTGTACGCCCTGCGAAAGGGACCGACTGTTAAATCTTTATTTTGAGATAATAAAGAGTAATTAACCCTTCTTGACTTTACATTTTAGTTTTTGGACTTGAGCGATTGCTCACTTAGCATTTCACGAGGTTCCTCGACATTACATTCAATAAGATAAAAAAAAGTAAGGAACTCTACAAAACAGTAGACCAAATCAAGTCATTTTCTGGAAAGAGTTAGTACCCAGTCCTCTCACTGTTGCATCAAAAGAATGAAATCATGTTTCAGTTTCATGTATATACATATACAGACTTTAAATAGCCTACATATTTTATTACCAACTAATAAACAGTTTTTCCAGTTTCGTGAAATCAAAAAAAAATGTTACTCCACTTCTTTAAACCTCCGAAGCGGTTATAAGGTCATGTCTTGGAATCATGCATATTATAGAAAAGGTCTGATATTCTGCAGACTTATGTTTTTCAATAGTAAGTATGACCAGTAACGCTTTGCTTCTGCAAATACTTTTAATCAGTTTTACATCAAATGTAAATTGAACCTAGCTTCCGACCTTCTACAATCATCTGTGATTTATTATTCATTATTTTTACCAATGTTTTAAAGCACAGTAGGCGCATTTTTTAAGACCATATTCGCCTATTTATAAATTTCTACAGGATAGGCTGTAGCAAAAACTGAACTGGCGCGTGCAAAGTTGAAAATTTCACTCAGGTTACAATTGAAGTACCATCTTAATTACGAAAATTAATTGAAGTAACTAAAATAAAATAACAGTATATCTTATGGAAAAATTCCTCCGAGATCGTTTATGGTACTGGCTGAGATCTTTACTCTGAGAGTCTCTGCTCTGTGTGTGTGTGTGATGGGGGTATAATATGCACGAAATAGTTCGTACTTTTCATCCTCTGGGTAGGTAGCGCAATGGGCGTGTCTTTCCAGATGTCGGGTTCACACATCTTTCCCTATACTGAGTTAAGTCCACCTTCCCTAAATTGGGAAAGTTTGGCCCAATATAAAACTCTTCAAGCCGGAACTTTATACTTCCTTCGTGGGGACATTTTTGATCAACTTGCTTCTCCCGCCTTATCCGACGTCGAACTTAAAGGGTTGTCCCCACAGTTGCTTTAATTAGCATAAGTGGGTAAATAGATTAGATTGATTATGAAAGGATTTTAACAGAATAAGAAGCTGCTTTGAAAATCAGTTCACCATAAAATATTCATTGAGGAATAAATATGTAAAGTTACTTCATTTATTGAGACAAAATTAAAAATTATATATTTTCTAGAACAGTTTATTTCATATTTGCAATTATAAGTATACTCATATTATGTATGTAATCGCAAAACATTTCCTAGTGTAACTTTTTTTATGATAATAACTTGCTAATTTCTATTGTAAGAATTTTTTTTTTTTTTTTTTTTTTTTTTTTTTGAAGGATAGGATAAACCAAATTTCATATGGTATGCACGTAAAAGTTAAAGGCAAAATATCTAAAACTGTCTATACTTTTAGATGTCCGACACCTGGTTGTGATGGATCAGGCCATATAACAGGCAATTATTCTTCTCATCGTAGCCGATCTGGCTGCCCAAGAGCGAATAAATCAAAAAAGTTCCTTCCGATCGATAAGATGGAAGCTGAGCCTCTGCGGTAAGTAAGAAAATGAGTTAGAAGATAGTGTTTTGTGGATGTTAGTTTCAAATTTATTGAATTATAAGTTAGTGAGTATCAAAATAATCATACTTCACGATTATGCCATCTGGAAATGATGCTTAAGTGTAGAAGAAGAAATCTATACTCTTGCTTTGTATTTAAATGGAAATTAATAATATCCATACTTAGGTACCTATCTAAGCTTTTGATTACTTTTGTTCTTTTAAGAGTTTAAAAAACTTTATGTTAGAATCAAGTGAGGATTAGAAAGACTGGAAGAAATTCTGGGCTGTTAGATGTGATATAAACATTTAAATCCCCAGAAAGCTAAGCAATACTGAAATTGAATTGAAATAAATTTTAAATTGATTGACAACACATTGAAAACAGTTCTTAATAAATTTCCTTTTGCTATAATATCAGAGATAGTAATATTTTAGAGTGCACAGGCTAGACAGAGCTAGTTCTTAATAATTTTTCTTTTGCTGTAATATCAGAGACAGTAATATTTAGAGTATACTATGAATTCAGCCAATCTAACAATATTTCAAGAAGCGTTTGCTAAAACTAAAGTATGCAAAAAATCTCACTTCATCATATGCACCGCCTAGGGAGAACTGTAAGAGTTAAATTAATTTTAATAACAAAGGTAAAACTATAAATTTTCCTTTTAATAATTACTTGTTCTTTGGACTTGTTCTAGCACTGTCTAAACCTACAAATATTTGAAGAATTTTAAAAACAGCAATATCACAATCATCAATTTGTAGATTGTTAAGAAAGCGGAAAGAAAATACTTTTTTTGGATTATACGAAAAAGTAAAAGACCGGTTGTTGCTGTCACTGTAGAGTAAAAGGAACTGCAGCATTAAATTAATCAAAATTTTAAATGTGTTTCACTCCAATTAAATTTCCTTTAGTGATTAAATGCTTTTTTAAATTATTTTATTCGTTGGTAATTTTAGCATTAAGTAATTGTTTCCAAGTAGGTAATTGTTATACATTTCTTTGCATTTGTTACCCAAAGAACAGACAGAATTTTCTCTGTAGATCTTTTCAGTATAATTTTAGATTCAAAGTTTTATTGCATTTTGTTATCAAAATATATAATAAATAAGTTTGTTTATTAATTCTTTTAAATTACAAAATAAAGTGCACCCGAATTTGAATAAATCAATCCTTATTTTACTAAGAGAGCAGATTGTTATAATAATTAAAATTAAAGCAATATTGGTTTCTAGCTGTGAAACAGCGAAATTATAACAAACTTGAAACTGCTAAATCCAATAACAATTTTTTCTTCAAAACTAGGAGTTCCGAATATAGTAACGCAGGAAAGTGGTCTTCATTCATAAAGACCAAGAGATTCATGTCAGAAACCTCTTGCGAACAATTTTCCCAATGTCGATACACTGCTGAGCCATTAGTATATATTGTCATTGCTGACCCAGTGGTACAAGTCAGCTTAAAGAATCTGCAGAGAGCGAGTGAGAATTTTTAAAGTGCTTTACAGTTGATTCAGTAATGAAGCTGTGAAAAGTGAAGAATTAATACACCCAAGCATATGTAGTACGGCTCTTTTAAGGACAAGTAAATGTAACAGTGAGTTTGAGAGTAATCTTTTACTCAGCATATGAATGTTATAGTGTTTTCATGATAACAAACTTCCTCTTGAGGGCAGCTATAGTTATTTATCAGATTAATGGAATAAAGTCCAATAATTCTATTATTGCACCTTGGTTAAAATATCGGTTAACCTAGCTAGTGCAAGAACTTATCCTGATTTGTAGCAATGCAGCAATCTTGCTTTTAAGCAAGAAGAAAGGAGATGAGGACTTTGACGAACGCCGTTTCCTCCAGTCCGTGAGGCTTGGTAAGTTCATATCCTGATTTGTGAAGCCAGATTTAACTCAGAAGAAACTTGCCAGAACTTCAAAGCAAAATCTTAAGCATAATTGTTAATTCTTTCCGGTACATTATAACCTAGCGGAAATTTAAGTACAAGAAATCTTATCGATTTCTTGTACTTAAATTTCCGCATTGTACATCTATTGGGCTCCGCGATCTTTTGGGCTCCACTAAAGGGAAACGTCACTCACTCTTTTTCAATTTTAATATTTGTTCAGCTCATTGCACAAAGAAATAAACAGTCTAGATAATAATAAAATATTTCCTCAGCACAATAAAGCTATTTCATCAAAAATCCATCAAGCCGCGCCATTCTTCTGCTCAAAATTCCGCTAGTGCAAACGGGAGTCTACAGTAAAAAAAATTGAAGCAGTTGACAAATTCGCTCAGACAACCTATGTCATGCCATTTCATCTCAAATTTTCTGCTAATTTCAATCCATTCCAGGCATTGGTAGGAGTAGGATTCAGCTGGTTTGCAACGATTCCTAATATATTTTAAATTGGTGATCTAAAATTAAATTTTTAGGCTATTGGCGGATATTTACTTGCTAATTTCATCACTTTAGAAAGCTAAGCGATTCTTAAAGTTTTTTAATCCCATCACTAACTGCAGAGTATTAGTTAGAAAAAAAAGTTTTTTAATCCCATCACCAACTGCAGAGTATTAGTTAGAAAAGTTCAAGAACTGTGTTTTCAATCAATGTAGAAATTTTGCATTTCAGTAACGTAATGCATTTAATCCTTTGAAAAGGCTGATCTTTAAATCAAAGCTTGAAGTACACAATAAGCGATTTCAGACATCGAAAAACAACTCAACGTTACACGAATGGATAAAGGATTGTTTTGAATTTGGAAATTAAAACATTTCTCCGACAGTAGAAGTTAGGAAAGGCGCCAAATTTTATTTGTGTAAGCATTGTGAAGTTTTTTAGGTAAGAGTTTTTATTGGAATCTTTTTTACAGCTGTTAGTGTTATGAAAAACAGTTCTTGATGCTGCAGCTGTTAGCTAATGTAATACTAAATGCATATTATTAAGGAGGAATTCGTGATGTAAAATTTTCTCTTTCCAAAGAAATGCAAACGAAGATGTTTGAGTTGCTCTTGAAAAATTAGAGTACATTGAACTAGATTAGCTGTTCTCAACCTTTTGACTAACGTGAACCATCTAAACAATAATTGAAAAACTTTAGTACCACCAATACAATGATTATTTTTCAATTTCTCCGTATAAATAAAAAAAAAAAAATTGTCATTTGCACAGCCTGTTGGCTATTTGTATTAAATATGCACACGTAAAAATACTAGATTAAAAGTTGGCTATCATTTTAATTATAAAAATTTAAGTCATAAAATTTGAATTCTAAAATTTATTGTGAAATTTGGTCCTGTTTAAGAGAAATCAATTTCTTTATATCTGGTCGTATTTCACTTAGCTTTAACCATAAATTAGGATCCACTTTTGTTGTTCAACATAACATGGAAGAAAACCTGGAACTACTCTGATATGCGCCCTCAAGTCGCCAAATTTCTCGCCAAACATTTTTGGCAAGAAACTTCACGCTGCCGTATTACTATCTCAATTTTTTGTCTACATTTTGAACTTTAAGCGTAAAATGTCTTCAAAAACACGGTTTTCGCGATTGCAAAAACCACATTTTAGCTCTAGTGTAGAATTGGGTGCCCCTTCGATTAGCGACAATTTTTTGTAAAATTTTGCCGATGAAATCTCATTTCTGGTTACCATGATAGTTTAACTTTGCTTTAGCCTCCTGATTTTTTAAAAATAAAAGTAGATTGATGTGTACATGGTCAAATTTAAAGCAGTGCGCAATGCCTAGTTTATGCTATTCTGGGATTTTTTTTTAAAAGAAAACAGATCGATGTGTACATGGACACAAAGTTTATGCAATTCTTTGACTTCTTATTTTGGTTTTGTATAGCAGCCACCTTGAAATTGTGTCTTCCTGGTGCCGATCTTGGCATCAAAAAAGAATCGCCAAAATACAAGGGGCACCCAATTGTAAACTTTTACCCACATTTTGAACACACAATTTAAACTAAAAATCCGAAACAAAAACAAAAAATTTAGATAGAAAAACCCTAAAGTTTCTAACTAAAATTATTTGACAAGAGTCCATGTAGACAGCGATATATATTTTCCATAATTTAACTTAAATATCTATGAATGGCACAATCTAGGCAACGAATGAATCTACGAACTACGCACACCTCACTTTAATAAATTAACATAACAACAATAAATTTCAAAGAATACCATGTACACAGCATCCTGTTTAAACTTAAAAAAACATCTACGAATTGCACAATTTAGGCAACAAATGAATCTACGAACTACGCACACCTCACTTTAATAAATTAACATAACAACAATAAATTTCAAAGAATACCATGTATACAGCGTTCTGGTTTCAACTTTAAAAAACATCTACGAATTGCACAATTTAGACGGTACGCACTAATCAACAAAATAACTAAAATAAATTTCAAACAATTCAAAAAAACAACAATAATGACTGAAATTCATACTAAAAAAGCAATGAACGTAACATTCTACAAAATAAGAACAAGAATAAAATAAAATGCACTTACCATGAATCAGTGCTTTTTCGAACAGCAGAAATACCAATTTCATACCGCCTTTAACATGCCGCCATGTAATCACTATCGTATTTATATGACAGCCAGACACACTATCCAAATTGTTAATTCTTTCCAGAAAGTCCATACTATGATTCACAAATAAGTAACAAATAATCACAAATCTCTACTTCTATCATGCACAGCCACTAAAAATAATCTCCCGGAACCTCTTTCCACACCTCCAAATACCCACTGCTCCTCAACAGAATGGCCACGACGATATTTCCTTTTGCCGAACTTCAATTCACCAACTTCCACCATTTTAGCTTCTCGGACACAGAGCATGACGCGAACAAACGAAATCCAGCAAAAGATTTTACAACGTTAGCAGGGTTGCCATACAACACGCAATCGCGCCCAAAACCAGCGCGGAACACATATCGCCACATTTGGTGAAATTAGGGCGTATATCAGAGTTGCACACAAATAGGTTGTGCAAAAAGGGAATAAAAATTTAATAGCTTTATTTCAGATGCCCTTAAATTCTCTTTTTCAGTTCAGCCTAAAGTTAACAAATGTGTTACTTTTGAAATCTTCTGTTAGAGTTTAATCACAAAACATTTCCATCAATTGTTCTTTTTTCTTCACGAGATTTTTGAATTTAATAATTAAAAATACTTTGTTTCTTTGTGTGTCACCTATTTTTCGTCTTGCGTACCACCGGTTGAGAACTAGTATAAATTCTTATGTATAAAAATTCCGTAAATTTTATTTAATGCTAGATTTGAAACCGGATATATTCTTTTGGCATTTTCCTTTCAGTTTCATAAATATGATATATTCCATAATTGTAATGATCACTTGAAGAAAATGCATGCATTTTCACAAACCATTATCTACATAAATCAATGTATGAAGAAAAGTCATATTAGAAGCATATTTGTTAGTATGTTAATGTTTTAATCATCATAATTCTTTTTACAGTAATAAGATTTCAGTATCTGCATTTGAATTCATAAAACTTGTTATATGACCCTGTTTATGTTTTGTATCATTATAGTTTTTCTGATATGTGTATAGTATTATTTTTTAGATTGTTTTATTACAATGTTTAGAAATGCTGCTTCATAGCATTTCAGTTTTGTGTTAAAAAAAATGAAAAAAAGGTGTTTAAAAAATTCCTGAAAAGTTCGAAGTCAAAATAAGTTTCAGAATCACACCACACAGCTACGCTTAAGATAACTGATGCAGTTGCAAGTAGCGATACTAATAGCTACCAATTCTACCATTCCCTACTTAGCTGTCCTGTTCCTGGATGTGATGGTAGTGGACATATTACAAGAAAATTTCAGTCACATCGAAGGTATTTCTAATAAACATTGGCTCATGTTGTATCCTGTCTTTCCATCTTATCTTGCATCATACTTTCCATTTTTCTCCTATTTTGCTCGCATGCCTTGTATCACGATGTTCTAAAGATGTTTCAGACACTTCACTGTTTACTTCCTTTTATTCCCTTCCTTTTTACTACAAATCTATTCTTTGGTATCAAGCAGTGGAAGAAAATGTGGGGTTTTTTTGGAGGGGGGAGTATTTTGAAAAATAAATTGGAAAATTCTTCAGGTGATTAAATTTGAGATAAAAAGTAGTGTATAGTGTACATTAGAAATTCCTGGCATCACATCTTTATTTACAGTGGCTCACATTTGTTTTCATTCACTTGTGTCACTCATTCAGACACTTGTGTTTTCCAGTTTTATGTGAAAATATCAGTTACTAAATATTAACATTTTTTTTCCACATATACTATTGATCTTCTGTTTTAAAACCTGCTTGTTTTAAAAAAGTTATTCAAAACCTTTTTGGTAAAAAAGAAAAATAAATTATTTGAAAAGTTCTGGAAAGAAACTTGTATAGTATTTGATCACGTTTAATGAAAGCATCAGCTTATATTTGATAAAAACATCAAAATAACAAGTTGAGTATTTTGCTGGATATCCTTTAGCTAAGTTTACACTTTTCGTGCATTTAGCATGGATTCAATTAAAATTTTTGTTTAAGAATATTTCATTTGTTCCATTCCTACACTTGATTTGCTTTTAGTAGAGCTTTCAGAATAGTGTCGTGTTTCTTTATTCTTCTTCTCCAACCTGCTTCATACACTTCCCTTACTATTTTAAGTATGGAGAGTATAGAGAAGTTTGGTACTCTTCTGTTATCAGGACTGGATTCAGAAATGTATGTATAGATTCATATATGCATGTATGGATTCATATATGCATGTATATATGTATGTGTGTGTATGTACACAGACATATATGCACATGCATACATACATAGGTATTTGATTCCAATCCTGCTGACGGAAGAGTACCAGAAATTTTTATAACTTCAGGATAATTGTATAATAACCGCAAGCAAACATTTAGAGTTGTATGTTTAGAATCACTATTCTGATAGAACTTGAATGTATTTTACATTCCAAGTTTTCTTGCAGATGCTTTTGACTATTAAGATTTATATATTTTTGCTAACCCATATTGTTTTCGATAAACTCTAAATTTCTAATTCTAAAGGCAGCAAAATCTCCAAACCATTTTCCCTTTATTCCCATGCATAACATTAGCAATTACATTTTTTAATTCAATTCTTAATTTGGATTTTGCCACCTATTAATTCATCTGTAAGACCCAAATATATTAAATTTTGACTGCAAATATCAAATTTTTCCAATATGATAAAACTTGGATTATTATAGATTTTGCAAATGGCAGGAATAATCTTGTTGTTGATTTCCAATTTTATCCATGTCTCCTAAATGATAAGTCTTCTAAAAGCTTCAGGGTTAACTATTTTTGCAAATGGTTTTTTGAAATCTGCTGAACATTTAGCAGTACTAATTTTTCGAGTGTTTTTAATTTTTCATAGACAAAATTTGCTGTTCCTTAATATCCACATGGAATGTATTAAGGACTGCAGTGCATTTTCACTAGTTTCACACAATTCTCCTTGTTTTGTTATATCAAAGAAACGTAAATGCTTTATATCAAGGATATTTTGAAATTTGGAATAATTTTTCCATTTAAAAAATCAATTATTAAATTTCTAACAGAATTGCTTGTTAATTTATATCATCTTTCCACTGTCACTTCAGATATGGAATTCTCGATATATTTTGGTAAGATGTAATTTCTAAATGCAGATGATAATTCTTTTTATGCATTTACATTGTCTACAAAAATATTTCAACAAGAATTGTGTCTGAATTATTATGTGAGTTACTGGTTAACATTATTTTTATGATACTTATTTTATGACACAAAGCTTAAAAGAGAGCAAAAATAATATATAAAAAACTAAATTTGAACTCTGATTTTCAATATTTAGTACAAGATCTAAGCAAATAAATTTCAAAAATACAGGTGTCCGAAAACAAATATGAGCCAATTTGTATGATAGCTAGCAAGTAATTCTAACTAAATATTTTCTTTTTTAAATTCCACTGCATTTCTTTTAAATTAAAGATAATTGTTATATTATGATCTTAAGTTAACAAACTTTCTTGATATGTTTAAAAAAATTATACTGACATTCTTTAATCTTTTGTTCTGAATAATTAATATCCTGTAAGTTTCCTTTCTCCTTTACTTTGTTTTCCTTTCTCTGCCCCCATCCCGGTATGCTGTGAGGTTTTAATTTAACTTACATAGGAGTTATATAAAAAGAAAATTTGGTTGATCTTTAGATTATGGTAACTTGGCAATTTTTTGGCAAAAATTTGGCGACCAACTCTCCTACAGCAACCCTCTATTTTTTTTTTCCCGCCGCCATTTTGTCTTCACGAAGTAAAGACATCTTTCTTTTCTTTTTATCTACTGAACACTTCTTTCCAACAATCTACTAGCCGAATTAACACTTATGCTAGAAATTTTATCTAACAAAACTGCTTAATCATGACAAATATTCACTGCAAAATTGGGAAAAAGTGCACAATACCATACTCCTTACGCGTTTTTCAAAATAACACATACACATAAACCATGTACACGTTGACTTACTTAAAAAAACATCCCAGAATTACACAAAAAAATGGCATTGCGCACACTCTTCACTATATCCATGTACACTGCTTTTTTCTCATAAATTAGAAAAATTTCACGAAAATACATGACAATTTTCTGAATCTTTAAACCCGGTAAAAAGAACATATATGAAATTACCTGATCGCGAAAAAGTATATACCCTTTTCCAAATATGAACATTTCCACATATAAAATAATAAAATATCCAAAAACTTTTACCTCTAAATCATCTATTATATTATAAAAAACGTCACCAACGAATTCATACCACAAGCATTAACAATACTTAGAGTCAAATATTTAAATTATTTCCATGCATGTTTACTTCAACTAAAACGTATACCAAATTCCTACAAACATAAAATTCACAGAATAACTATCATTTAATTAAAATATCACTAAACCATGTACACGTTGACTTATTTTTACTTAAAAAAAAAATCCCAGAATTGCACAAAAATGGCATTGCGCACACTCTTCACCATATCCATGTACACTGCTTTTTTCTCATAAATTAGAAAAATTTCACGAAAATGCATGACAATTTTCTGAATCTTTAAACCCGTTAAAAAGAACATAAATGAAATTACATAATAACAAAAAAGTATATACCCTTTCCAAATATGAACATTTCCACGCATAAAATAAATTAAATATCCAAAAACTTTTACCTCTAAATTATCTATTATATTATAAACGTCACCAACGAATTCATACCGCAAACATTACAAATACTTAGTGTCAAATATTTAAATTATTTCCATGCACGTTTACTTCAACTAAAACGCAAATACCAAATTCCTACAAACATAAAATTCACAAAATAACTATCATTTAATTAAAATATAATTAAATTCAAAAACACTACTTAAAATATAAATAAGCACATACATTAAATTAATAAAATTAGCTTACAATCCTAATTACTTAAACTAAATCATTGCTAATAACAATTTTCCCAATAATACCAAATTATTTTACTTCCACCTTACATTTAGAACAATGCATAAAAATAATATCCTCAAACAATTAAAAATACTAACTTACCTAATCTTCTTCAGAATCTTGTTTACATGGTGGATACACTTTTATTATGGATTCAATAAAACTATTGAACGATTTTTTTTTCTGCGAATTTTTTCCTCCACACTTGGCTCCGCTAAATAAAAAGCAAAATTCTCTTAATCACATCTAGAATTCACTTTAGACAGCGCCATAACAATCCCAAAATTATTCAACCCTACTTCACACAACACACAATGAAGCTTAATACAAATAATATGCAGCCACAGATATTTTTTCCAAATTCTCCCCCCTTTCTGATTAAAGAACCGTAATTCGTCCATTAATATCACATGACATATCCCATGATCTCTCATTTCCCTCACACAAAATAATGCGTAATCGGAACTGAGTACTGCTCACATTATTACCAAAGTGCCAGGTTATACCTTTATCGCCTCCAAAATGTCGCCAAACTACCAGTTACCATATTCTAAAGATCAGCCGAAAATGGTTAAGTCAAAAAAAGGTGTAGTAATTCACTTCTTAGTTCTGGTTTTCAGTATTTCTTCATTCTGAAGCTGATACATCTTTTGAAGAAGGTTATTTTAGAATTAACTGTAACTGAAATTTTTTATTTTAAAATTTTTATTTATTTATTTATTTTATTAATTGATTGATAGATATGTTTTGGCAGTTTTCTGTGCTTTTCTGATTTTTCACACTTTAAATAAACTTAAAATATTTTATAAAGATATCCAAGCAAAATATTTTAATTAATATTAATATTATTAGCAAAGATAATAAGCTAAGATTTTATTTTTTAAATTAATTAAAATTAATTTTTTAAATTAAATTTTTTAAGTTTTTAAGCCGGAAGAATTTTTAATAGTTTCTTTTAAGTTATTGCCTTTTTTTTAAGACATTCACAAAACATGTATTCTGATTGGATATTGATATGAAATCTGAGATCTAAATTATTAATATTGAATATATATATTATATTCAAATTTTAAAAACTTGATTTTTTAAGGAATTTAATTAAAACTTCAGTGGAGTTTCTCTACATTAAACTTTCTCAATGGAGTTTTCTAGGTTAACTAAAATAAGGAATGTTTTAAGTTTTATTTTCGAAATTGATATGATGACATACGAAAGAATTTTAAGTAAGAATGATTTCTTCTCCTAAATGAGATGCGTGATGCATTTCACAATTAAATGTTGATGCTCATTTTATTAAAATTTCCACAAAAAAGGAAATTTTATCATTTATTAAGAT